CTGCTACTAGTAGCAGCAGCAGCAACACAGTAGTAGTATTGCCTTTGTTAATAATTACATAATCTTATTATCATCATAGCAGATGCAACTGTATACCAACATAAACAATATTTCACGACTCACGCGGTAATAACTAGTATCGCTCAGTATGTGATCAGGAAACGTCAACTTATGAGGTCTAGATAATTTATTAATGCATCCCTTTCTCGCAATAGCTTAGTGGAACTTCGTCGATCAGAAGTGAATCGAAACCGATCATATGGATTGATGCCGGTATACATGCGAGAGAGTGGCTCTCCCCGGCCACCGTACTCTACATCCTTACGCAGGTATGTTTACTTAAATGTAAGCAGAGCATATAAATCATGATTTATATGCTCTGGTGTAATGTTAGTTGTTTACTTTAATACTATATTTTATATACTTTAATATTTTATATACTTTAATATTTTATATATAAATTTTATATTATACCTTAAATTTTTCTTACTATATACTTTTAATGTATTTTTTATTTTACTTTGATTTACTTTACATAATTCAATTTACTCGTAAAAGCCTCGCTATAATCATTTATTGTTTATACTGACATGGTCTGCTTATAATCACCTCGAATGTTAATTAAGTGTTTTCCGTACTAATACTAAGCTCACAGGTAATCATACGTACGACGAAACAAAACTTCTCTTAGTAGTCTGGCGGTCACTGCCAAATATCAAAGACCAATTACTATACAAATATAAATGTTATCTTTGATAACATTTTAAAGCGGAGATGGAGACGTAGACGAGAAACAAGACATTATACCAGATCATGAGATTATGAAGTTTTTCTGTGTCCTTTTCAAATCTTTCTTTCGTAAGCGTGTTTATCGCTACATTTGTTTTCATTGGCGTGATGTTTCAGCTAGTTCAGGGGTATTCTACTGACGTTGAAATTAGAAGCTTCATTGATGAGATTGATTGGTATATCCTTCCATCGCACAATCCTGATGGCTACGAGTATTCACGAACTGACGTACGTATATCGAAGCTTGCTAACGCTGTTCAGGGCTTAATAATGACAAATATTTAGATACATATGTAACATGAGCAATCCCGTGCTTGTCATCTATTGTGATATTGATATATAGTACGATGGAGTGTGTGCTATAAACTTTGCTGCGTATACCGTAGCTCCTGTCTACTGCATATAATTCCTGTTCCAACCTTTTTTCTTCATGACATTCTAGCGTCTTATGCAGTTATATTCTTTGAATAATTATTCGTATTTGAACGTACCATGCATGTCTGTATAATTCTAGTGGCATTGTTCTTATCAATCATCGATCTGTTCTTATTAATCGATTATCAATCAGCATTGGCGAGTTCGTGGCAGAAATGAAATGAGTTATAAGATTCTTTATGCGCATGCGCAGCTATCAGGTGTGGAGAGTTGTGCCTCGGAATGAAGAACATCTGCATTTCCTCGTTGATCTGGAGAGACGAACAGAAGGCGTGGTGCGTAGCAGACAAGTTCTTTATTTTTTACCTATTTTTTAACGTTTTATTACCGTTTAATGTTAAACAAACAATTTTCATTGCGTCTTTCTTATTTTGTTATTAATTTTGTTGTAGTTTTTTTTGACATTTGTTTAAAAAGGTTTTACGTTATTTAACGGATTTTTTTTGCATTTTCACCGTTTTTTTCCTGTTGCGGTGATGGATTAAAGCTTCGGTGAACAGACGCTGGCTATATATTATGCGTGTTATCTGTGATTGCTTCTATGATAAGCAGCTATACAGTGTGTGTACTTCATAGCGTATGTTCTCAATGACTGACGCCAGGCAGCGAGTTTTACGTGAGGTTTCTAAACTAACGTTTCCTTTGTGTTCAGTACGATTTCTGGAAGGAACCGGTGGGAGTCGGATATTCCGTTGACATCATGATTCCTATGCGCCATCTATCTGTCGCTAAACATGACCTGCTGGCGGGCGGCCTATCTTATGACGTCATGATCGACGATGTCGGACAGTATGTGACGTCATCACGCGTGTAACGACGTCACCAGTAATGACAAACACATATCACTACTAATAGTAGGAATAACAATGAAATATTTATAAGATTTCTCTACAGCCACACTGTAGTCCGGTTCCGCGACCAATGTTCCTTTATTTTGATCGTTTTTTGTGTGATGAGCACATCAAGATTGTATATTTCTTTCTTTAAAGACTAGATTGGAAAGTGAATGCTGAGAATGTGAAAGCAAAGGCGGGAAAAGTCTTCGACCTTTACAGCTACAACTCACACCGTGAGGTACAAACACGCATGTCAAGTACTAGCGAACAACGACATATCGTCATATATATTAACAGCACAATTGTTATTTAATACGGAATATCACATTTGTATACCGATACCGTCAGAGGTTTTACTTCCTTTCTCAGATTCTTGGTTTTACTGTTTATACGATCATATAATATGTACATATAACATTATAGCTAACTGTGACCTGAGCGACGCTTTACTAGTAATATAAATTCCTTGTAACTAGTAACTAGTAACTAGTAATATTAATTCGATTTGAACTTTCAGATCAATAACTACATAGAGGAGTTGGCAGCTACATATCCGCATATTGCATCGGTTGAAACAATCGGAGGATCATACGAGGGAAGACCTATGAAGCTTATTAAGGTAGCTCTTAAATTGACGCAAAATTAGCAGACGAGACATAGCTCTTTAATTGTGATACTAGATGTGTTACCGTCGGTTTCATTCTTTATTATGATTATAATTGTGATTATTTATTACCGAAGTCATTAACTTCCTATTATTGCCAAAATTTTCACGGTGGTCGTGGTGAACATTCGCTAATTAACGGTTATTGCTAATTACGGTATATCTGCTCTCATTAATAAAAATAATATCAATAAGAATAATAATAATAATTAGTAGTATTAGTATTAGTAGTAGTAGTAGTAGTAATGGTATTAGTAGTATTAGTAGTAGTATTAGTAGTAGTAGTAGTAGTAGTAGTAGTAGTAGTAGTAGTATTAGTAGTAGTATTAGTAGTAGTAGTAGTAGTAGTAGTAGTAGTAGTAGTAGTATTAGTAGTAGTATTAG